ACCATTGCCTTCTTCTCCAGCATTGCATGCCACCGACCACATACACATATGAACAGCTCTACCCACCTTGAGCATCACATACCGTGGCCCCCATGCACACGCCTGTACAGCCCTACAGACACTCGTACAGCCCTACACACACCCGTATAGCCCTACATCTGAGCACTGCACGTCACCGACCACACACACACACACACACAGCCCTACACACCCCGAGCATCACACCCCACAATCACACGCACTGCAGCCACTCACCGCACCTTATCCTGACACTGCACGCACACAGAGCTCCACACACCTCAGTTCCACTCAGGCAGCCCCTCCACACACACACACGGACCTCCACACACCACAGCCACACACCCCACAACCACACACCACAGCCATACACACCCCAACTTGCTCAGATCGTCAGCCAAATGCACCACAGCACCACACACCAAAACATGCCCACACTACAGCCCTCCACGCACCACCTTCACACCACACAGCCGCTTCCCTAGCCTCAGTATAGTCCCCCAAAAACAGCGATGTGCATAGACACATGGCGCAGGGATGGAACTGGGTGATCTTTAGGGTCTTTCCAACCCAAACCATTATCTGGTTCTATGATCATGACATACAACACACATACACACAGCAAAATGTTCCCAATGGCTCAGAGGAGACAGCCCAGTCTCACAGAGTCCATCCCCAGCCCCAAAGCTCCTGAGCCACCACCCTGGGATGATGCAATCCCTCAGGGACTCTAGTCCACGTCCTATCTCTCCCTTCACCATCAGGTTTCCAGCAGCAGGTGTTACCACAGGAGCTTGGGGCTGCTTTCATGTCCTCTCTGAGACAAGGCTGCCCCTCCTGATGTTGCCTTACCCTTGGGAACTGTAGGCGTCCTCCTCAGTTAGGGCTGGGATTTTCAGCCTTACTCAGTGAGGGCTGAGCTGGTCCTGACTTCTCTGAGCCTCAGATGATATTCCCTTGTTTTAGGTCTCTATCAAATTCTAGGCCCCTGGGGCTAATTACTGTAACCTTCCATCCCTAAAAGCAACTCTGTCTCACTCTGGATTAGACCTTGTCTAGCACCTTTGGATACACCTCCTTAAATATGAGGGGGCAGATGGATCAGATCAGAAGTCAGTCGCCAAGAATGAAGCCCTTTGAAAGATGCACGCCAAGATAAGCAGACAAAACTGGCCATAAAGCCCTTTCTGAAACTCCTGATGCAGGGAGGAGGAAGAATTCATTTCATCAATTCAGCAAACAAGTTAACTCAGGTCAAATTCTGCATCACGTCACCTGAGCGTTACTACAATTGTTACAGCACCACATGCAGCAACAAGGTCTCACCTGCCGAAAGAAGCAACAGGGGGAGGGAGGGGAAAGGAGGAGAAAAGAGGAAATATCTGGTTTCGATCAACTCCTTAAAAATAGAAGTCTGATTACCATTGCCCATTTCTGATTCCCCAAGGGAGAGCAGGAGAAGAGGAATCTATAAATAGTTTGCAACACAGAGAATCCTATAGCAAAGTTGCTGGGAAAGATCAATAGCATGATTCAAGGAGGGCTCCAAATTACATCTCAGGGGAGGGAGGTGCTGAACAGAATTGATAAATGAGTTGCAAATGCTGTGTGTGTTGTGTGTATCTAATTAACAGAGGGTGAATGGGATCAATAGCAAGGAAGGAGATGGTCTAAAAATAGCACTCAGGAAGGGACTGCAACCTGCGGGCAACAGCTTGGATGGAAATGTCCCCTGGAGTAATTAACCTTTCGCTGGAAAGTGGTGGTTACTGTGGGGTCAAATTGAGGCCTGTGCACAGCTGGGAAGGGATGAGGTCTCCATGGGACTTAGGGCACAGAGTAGTGTGACAGTTGGGGGGGTACAGACACAGCCATGAGCTTGCAGCCTTCCTCTGATCAGGTGGCAGCGACAACCTGCTATTTGGTGTAGTGCTTTCTGGAGAAATATCTGAATATTAACATTTTGTTGGGGTTGAGGAATAGGAAATATTTGCCATTCTGTGTACTCATAAAGGTTTTGACATTGCTTAGAGAAAAGTAACAGTTATTTTTTTAAACATCTATTTACATCCATAGGAGTCTGGGATTTTCTTCTTTTTTTGTTGACCCCCTTGCCAAGAAAGTATCCACTATTCTGAGGATTTACTCGGAGGATTCTGAGCCTTTGCTCATCCAGACTCACCAGCCAATATATATTTGAACCACAGAGCAACTAACTTCCAAAGAGAAGTGCCCTTCCATCCTTCAATCTACAACAGAGATGTCAGACAAACACCAGGGAGAAGGACTGACGTTGGGCAGGATGATCTATGGCTCAGCTCACAGGCTCTACTGAAGTGCCAGGCTGAGCTGGCATCACCCGAGTGAGAGGCAGAGACACACACATCCAGGAACAGAAAGTTCATTTTCAGCCTGAGTATAGGATTTGGACCTGGGGTGTATGGCATGACTGAAAGAAAAGGAAACTGTAAAGATGAAGAATCTAGAAAATTTCTCTTTGTAAAGCTGGCAGGAAAGCATTGAAGGCGTAAGTAGTGAGTGAAGAGCTTTTCTCTCTTTAATATACATAGAAGTGACTAAAAATTCCTGGACAAAAGGTTTCTCCATAAGATTAAATAAAAGTCTTTTATCCAGTTATAGATGAAGCTACCAACAAACCATGGTTAGCCACCTAAACAAAAGTAAACTCAAAGTACCAACATATAACTTAGCTCCTCTAGGTTTGGTCTGGCTTGAGGGAGGGAGCACAGGCTGGAAGATAGGTGTGCAGTGGGTGCCCTGGCTGCTGACAGCTGTGCTAATCCAGTTTTGCACCTACTCTCTCCACAAAAGAACAGTGGGAATTTGAAATCTTCCACATTCAAGGTAAGATTGTGTGGGTGCTGTTATGTCACAGCAGCTCTCCTGTCTCACCTTGAGTTCACTCTGCAATGAAGGCAAGAGCTAAGAGCAAGGCAGCTGCACTCTGAGTTGCTTCTGTGGACCTCTGCAGTCCCTCCTGTGGACC